TATTTTAATTAATTGATTTAATTGAGAATATTCGTATTTTGGTGTTTTCGGTGGCTTTGTGAATTATTGAGGAATTATGCTTTTTGGAGTATTTATTTTGGAATAATAGTATGTAATATGGATTTATTAATATTATTATGAATTAAAATAAATATAAGAGGAATAAGGGTAAATTGGGCATTTAGAGGAGTTAGTGAGGATATTATGGGAAAAGCCCAATTGTGTGGCCCAAGTCTAAGTTTGACAAAATAGAATTCTGAAGAGATTTAGAATTCATTTGTTAACCGTTGAAAGTTTGGTGGCCAGAGCTCTGAAGGAAAGGTTGGAGGCAGAAGATCCCAAAGTTAATCGTGAAAGCTGCGAATCGACTAAGGTATGGGGAGTATCGTTGTTCATGATTTTCTATGTATGCCTTTAGATGTGTTTATGGTTGGTTTATGTGGTTTATGATTTGAGGTATTTTGGGTTGGTTGTGGGGAAAGAGGGAATTTGATGATAAGGCTTTGAGGTTAGGGGTAATGGTATGTAACACTGAATATTGATATGAGAAAGGGAAACCTTAGGCCTTTGTGGCCAAAACCTTGAATCGTTATATGTTTGACCCTGTAGGAATAGGAATGTTCAGATGTGAGTAACTCTGATGCACTCAGAGCAATTGCAGGAAAATAGTGATTTAGGCAGTGCAAATGTCGCCAGATTGGCCTAATAAACCATATATTTTGTGCCTTTATCGCTGTATGACCGTAGGGATGTTTTGGGGGCATTGGGTAAGTGAATCGTATGAGTAATTGGACAAGAATAAGTTCTGGTCGTAACAGGTTTTGTTGTCATCGCTCTGTTCGCTTAGCGAGCAAGCCAGCGAAAACTCGCCACATACTCGCCTAGTGAGCAAGCCAGCGAAGACTCGTCACCAACTCGCCTAGCGAGCAAGCCAGCGAACGCAGCAGAGTTCGCGAAATGTGATCGTTTTACAGCAATGCCTTGATGGTGATTCTGAGATTTCTGAGATGAGTTAACATGAGTATGACAGTGAGGAATTATGTGATTGATAGGCTATAGTGTGAGGATTACTGCGGGTATAAGTTGATGAATTAATAGGTGATAATATGAGATAATATTATGATGTAACATGAGATGATATGGGATAATATTATGAATTAATATGAGATAACATGGAGTAGTATTATGAATTAATATGTGATAATAAGATGGGCTAACATGAGGATGACTATGAGCTAATATGTGATTTGGACGTGATTTTATATGATGTATGATGATTATTATTATTATGACGAATTATATGATAACACGAGATATGATGATTTATGTGATGATGATGATTGTTATGATGATGATTTATGTGATGATGATGATTTGTATGATGAATTATATGATGACATGATGTGTGTGATTAATTATTATGATGAATTATATGATGACATGATGTATGATGATGATTATGATGATAAGCTATGACGTTTGATGATGATGAATACGATGAATATGATGAATGATGATGCACCTATGATGTTATTATGAGGATGATTTATGAAGTGTGCATCATGCATTCATGTGCATCCGGACTTCGGTTCAGAACCTCGATTACTTTGGCTTCAATCCCATTGTGCGGATGTGAAGTATTTTGGTGTGCTCCGCTTCTCAAGTAGAATCGATCCTATTGATGGGGATCTATAGAGGGTTGATGGCCCAGTGTCCATCGCACTGTGATGATTGGTACCACATGCATTGAGTTTATGTTGCATTTGCATTTATGAGCCTTGTGTATAAATTATGACGTTGTGGCCTTCGAGGCCTATTGAAGGATATGAATGTGTTAAATATGAATGTGACGCCGTTTATGCATTAATTGTTATACATTGATTATTATGAATTGTTTTACTCACCCTGCCTGTTTGAATGTTACCTCCACGTGGGTAACGTGCAGATGACCAAGTTTAGCTGTGGAGGCCGCCGAGGAGTATTTTTGAAGTCTTAGAGTTGTTAGCCTTTTGGTTAGCTTAGAGGGTCTTGCTCTGATATGTAACATCCGGTTGGGTTCTTTGAGTTGAACTATATATCAATGGGTTATTTTACTAACTTTTCCTAATGAGGAAAACCTTGAGTTATGTTTTGAGTTCCGCTGCTTTGTGAAAATTGATGTATTTTGAGAAAACCCGTGTGTTACGGAGCATTGACTTATTTTGAGACATTGAGAAATGTACGCCCTTTTGTGGCTTTTTATGAAAGTTAATATTTTACTCTGAAATCTGTGTAATTTTGCCATAATAATTGTGGGGTAGAAAAAGGTGTTACATAAAGCAATGATAGTCTGGATCATAAAACTGTAGCAAAGTAGAAAGAAGTCTATTGTCCACTTGAACCTTCAACAAAGATAAAAGCTTCCCATACTTATTTCTGAATCCTTCCTGGTCTTCAACCAAAGCTTCTAACTTCCTTAGGTCATCCAATTTAAGACTCTTGAAAGAATATTTTAAAGTGTTTTTCCTTTTGCAATCCATGATGGTCCTTTTGCAATCCAGATGCACAATGCAATGTATACAACTTGTAGAGTCATATACATGTTCTTCCATTAGAAATATACATAAGTGGTGATACATATATAAAGGCCACAAGTAATTATCAAAAAAATAAAGAAACAAAACAAGATAAGTGGTCAAGTAACGATTGATCGAGAAATCTAATTTGTCCAGGGATTTTAGCCTGATGTCATGCGGTAGGATTGATCACGAGGCTTAATCTAGCCCAGGTCATCGGAGGCAAAGTTGAAACATGGACTTAAGGGAGTACCAAAATCAACATACGATATAATCAATTAGTCTGTTGAAAATAGAATTGATTGCAGTTAGACTGTAAATTGACTAGAGGATTAGTCTGTTAATTAGGATTATTAGAGTTCCAATAATCAATTAGAAATCTAGTTAATTCAAAATTACTAAATAATAATCATTCACTAATTTAAATATTAGATCCTTACCAGAGTAATGTTGAATTAGAATAAACAAATTAAAAAAATGAATAATAAAAAAAAAGTGAGCACACAAAAAACTTATGGGCCTGCCATGAGAATGTTTACAAAAAACAAAAAAAATGGCCCAAACCCTCTTAAGCCCGACCAAGGCTAGGTCATGAGATCAAAACATGAGGCACATTAAGGAAATTGCTGGCGGCGTAGCTCTTCCTGTCATCTCACAATCCTCCCTCTTCCAGAATCTCTCATGAAATTTAATAAAAAAGACAACAAGAAACAAATTCAGATTAATGTGAAGGTTAAAGAAAGGGTTACCGATGACGAGTCGCGAAAGGTTTGGATGGCAAATTCGAGAACGATGCCGGCGACGAACACTTTATGGTGGTTTCGCGGCTCCTACAATGATCTGCGCAATGGACGACAAAGGGACGCGTCTTGGTTGTTCTATTATGGATCTCAGAGTCGGGTTTTAGAGTTCGTGCTCGTGCGTGTATGCGATGACTGCTATTGGTAATGTTTCGTTACTTTTCTTCTTTTGGAATCAATTGTGCGTTTATGTGTTTGTGGTACCGGTTTTTTGAATCGGGATCCCCCCTTCTGTGTGTATCTGCGATCCTTTTATAGCCACTATGAAAGAAAAAAACAAAATTTGTGGCCTTGAATTCATTTCCACTCTTGTATGAACATGCCGGGGTGCGGTTTTGGAAAGGGTTCAATCACTGTCTGAAACATGTTATGATATTTCTCCTTTTAATTCGACATGTTTTGAATGGTTTCACTTGCTTTGATAATGTTTCCTTTTTCGTCTCAACATGCTGACGGTGTGTAATTGCCACGAACAATTTGGATGAGAACTTGCCATTTTCAACTTATACTGTCTGATTGTGTTTTGAGATTGAATATCCTTAATTCTTGGTCATAATTCTTTGATCTTTCGTTCTTTTACTGTTGTTATGCGATTTGGATGGCCTAGGTTTTTGACTATTTGTTTTCTATTTTCCATGTGACTTGATTGAATCTGCAACGGGAGTCACCACTGAGTTCTGGGACACCGTACGACCTGCAAGGAGCCAAGGACTAGCAAGGGTTTCGCGAATGTGGTAGGAGCCCCGAATATACTTTGTTTGTTTCAAAATTGCTGCTTGTGCGCTTCTCTTTTAATTTACTAAGACGTCTTAGTAGGATTGCAGAAAGGCAGGTTATAAATCACCCTGGTGCGTCTGGTGTGGTTTTGTAGGTTACGCACCCGTTACTGAATCGAGTCGTGGCTGTGCACAAGGTCGGCGATAATGAGCGAATGAAGCTTACTTTTGCCTTACACCAGTCAAAGCTCGTATCACCGTTCTCGTGTAAGTCGAAATGAATATTTGTGTTGCTCTTATTTTTTAATTGTATGTCACGGTTACTAGTGACACGTGGTTTTACCTTGCAGCCTTCGAAAAAGTCTTGGCGTGTACTGCTCCTTGAAGGTTCACGTATCAGTTATATCAGTGGATTAGTGCTTGAAAACAGGAACTGACACGAGAGGTTCTTCTTGCCGAGTGGGCTGTTGGATGCGTCGTAATGGTATGGTCTTTTGTTGGTTGACTGTCATTAAAGCCGCATACCTTTCACTCATGCCAATAAAACTCGTAATTTCCTCTGTCAAAGTTTGTACTGTGTTCACTAAGGTCAAAACTCGAGTTAGGCATCTGGAGAGCATATGGACTTTCAAAATGTATTCTTGATTATGGCACTCAAATTATATCACCCACTTCGCTTTTGATTGTTTGCATTAGATGACTTAGTATAACCTTTGGTGCTGGTAATGAACTGACAGTTGCAGCTTCGGCATGGTACATCGAGGTTTGGAATGGTTGAGATAGAGATGTTCCAAGCGGTCCTGCACTAGCTGTGGCATCAGTGGTAACCATTAAAAAAAAGAGGTGTGGCTTTGTGTAATCCTTCTCATTGTGTCAATAATTAAGTTACTAGTTGATATGTCGCAAAATTACGTAAGGATACATATAATTCATCCGTGTGATGGCGTTTTTTGGCGAACTGGTGCAACTAGGCGTGCAACCGGGATGATCACAGAACCTGGAATGAGCACTGGAAGCTGCGTTATGGACAGACACAGCCTTGTCGTGGAAGGATTAGCACCTTGTGAAAATTTGCAAATTTTGGATTTCAGAGCATGTGCAGCTTTCCATTCTTGTTCATAGGGTCCAATACCGGAGTGTCTTTGTAAAGAATGGTAACTTGGCATTTTGAATCGAGTTTTCCTTTTAAGCGCCTTTTTGGTTTTGAGCAATTCCTGAGGCTTAAAATTCGATGGGGTTGAGGTCAAATTAGAGGGAGAACTTGGTGTTGTCTCTGTAGAATCAATAGCATTTGTTATTAACATGTTTGGGTCTTGATGTACTTTTGTAAAGTTTCCTCAAAATACTCTGAAATTATTTGAACAATGATTTGAGGGTGAGCTTTGACTTTCGGTTTGAATTTTGTAAGAGACATGAATATGAATCTATAGAAATATTCTAATTGCTGAATGTGAATTGAAACTTAGGAACAATCTTGAATGGGCCATTATCTTGGATCTTAGAATAATGAAACTTGGCACATGGACTTGGAATTTAGATATAGATTGAATTTGAAATGGTTTTGTGGATATTTTGAATTGGTTTGGGTTTGGACTTTTAGAGTTTTGAATTTGTAATATATTTTTAGGTGAGTAATGTGAACTTAATTGCTTTGTTATGCATGGTAACCTCTTTGAATTCTATAAATCCCATCATGAATCCTTGTATTTGATATTGGGGCACAAATGAATCCTTGTATTTTTGAAATTTGAATCTTCATAGATCTTGAAATAAAACTTGAATTTGAATTTCTCGCATGATAGCCTCGCCACATAACCTTGAATTCATGAACTTAAATTAGTTAAATTTGAACCACTTTTGTATCTTCATCCAAAATTATTAAGTATTGCAACTTAAACAAATTCAATCATTGATTTGAGTTTCATGAGTCTCGAACTTTTTTTCTTTGAGAGAATCTTGCACAAACTCGATCCAATATTTTATCCAAACTTTGCCACTTCAAAGCATATCATCCACGAGTCACCAATCCAAACTCTTCTTATGGTACCCAAACCCTGAAGATGCAACCTACAATATCACTTGTCATGAAAACCAATAACTAGTCCTTGAACGACTATACTCAGCATCACTGAAAAGAATGATCTAATCTTTACTTGAAATTGTTGCACATGTTCAAACTTAATAGTCATAATAAACATGCACGCAAGAGACCCTATGACCTAAAGATGTCATTCAAGATGATGCACAAGGATGTGAGATCTTAGGTTCAAAAATTAAGGTGTGACAGATGCCCTTATTTAAGTTTCTTATATCTGGAGATATGGAGATTGAAATCTTTTTCTCGACGTGATAGGAGATACTTACATACAAACATTGCATGAATTTTTGGTCCTAAGATGCCACGAGATGCACATGATGCGATGATATGATATGAAATGCAAGGCGAAAATCCTGCGGGGAATCACGTCACAGGGAGATAACTGCAATAGACAAAGCTGAAACACAGATACAAAAAGGAGGACCCAAAGAGGAACATCTTGGCACAACAAGTCTTGTTGAGAGAAGATTCAGCTCTACTGGGGTAGAGAGAAACGACCATTACTAGGGATATCTTAACCATGGTATCTCCAACAAAATAAATATGTGTGGAACTTATCATCAGGAACACGGTAGTTCAGGCAACGGGCGAGAAACTTGAAATAATGGATAACCTACTACCAACAAATGGTAGCCTAAACAAAGGTATCCAATCGAAATGCAAAACATGTTACCTACTATCAATCCTATGATAGCCTAAGCAGAGGTAACATGAAAATAAAGATAACCTACTACCAAACCCGATAGCCTAAGCAAAGGTATATGTCCAATATGATGTGTCATATTACCTACTATCGAACGTACGATAGCCTAAGCAAAGATAATATCCAACATAAGCTTCCATGATCTTAATATAATTCAACTTCTTCTTTAACTAAATGCTTCATTTAGAAAGGGTAAATAAACCTCCCCACGCTTCAAGGTTGTATGCCAAGAATGAGTCTCAGTTTCTTCTTTAATCAAGTACTCCACTTGAAAAGGGTAAAATAAACCTCCCCACGCTTCAAGGTTGTGTGCCATGTGTCGCTACTTGAAAAAATGCAACGACAGAGAGGCGAAAATGGAAGAACAGAAGAGTCACCATCGAACTTTATTTATCCCAAAAGGGGGAGGAAAAACATCGAGAAAACCCCAAGAAGGAAATGGATAAGATGGTCTCACGACCAAGAGAAAGAGTTCGGAAGTCGGTTATGCGAAAGGAAGGTATTAACACCCCTCGCATCCATCGTACTCGATGGGAACCATTTTCTTGTCTATGTGTGAAGGTATTTGCTAAAAGATACTGCTATAAAGAGTGTTCTAAGGTGAGATAGAAGGGTATGAAAAAGAATAGAGAAAAGAGAAGGTGAAGAAGTAAGGAGATTCTGTAGGACCTCGCGGCCCTATGCCTACGTATTCTCAACGGATATGAGAAAGTCAGAGTCAACTTAGTTTGAGGGACCACAAATAAAAAGATGGAAGTGTGCTCGCCAAGGATTGGGGCCCTTGTGCCTACGTATCTTCACTTGAAAGAAGTGAAGAATCAGAGCGTTCGTAGTTCAGACTACGGTTTGTTGGTATTTTTGTGGACGATGCTAACGTATGCATCCTAACAGTTAGGTGTATTGCAGCTCGCTTATGGAGTCTTAGACTTTACCTGTTTGCAGTAGAACGGACGTAACATATCCTCTGAAAAGAATATTTTTCGCCATCAAGGCAATATATCACATTTGATTTGTGGAAGTTATTTTTTAAGGGTGAAATAAGTTCTCAGATAGTAATCCCTTGCGGGTAGTACCCAATTCTTTTATCTCAAAAGATTTATTATGAAAATGGTATGGCGAATATAGTCACGTTTTCGTATTGAAAGACGAGTATCGAGACCACACACTCTAAAGTGAGTATACTCGGAGAGGAAGAAGTCTTTACTCAATCCTCTCTCTTTAGTTTAATACAAAGAGAACTTTATTCTTCTTATTAAAGATATTTTGATTTTGAATGGTAAGTGCTTTACGACAGTGAACCCTAAAGGTAATGTCAAGCACTCGGGATAGGACAAGGCCTTCGCCTAACCACTCCACAACCATCCAAGTTTATTGAGAAAGAATTTTTGAAAATGCACTTGGTACAAGACCAAGGTTTTTAGACTCAAGGAGATAGAAGAAACAAAAAAAACTTTTGAAAAGAAAGGGTGGTGAATAGATCAAGGTAGGTTGATGGCGATGCACAGAGCGATCAACTTACAACGGTGGAATACATATAAGGTTGGTGTGGATTTGATCGAAAGATAAGAAAAGTGAATGAGATGAGAGAAACCCTAAGGTGCGAACCAAGTTAATGCGTTTTGAAAAGATGACTTGACATTGGATCAAGTCTCATTTGTTCTTTATTTTGAAAACGTGTTCTAGCCTAGTTCATTTTATCTTTCTTAACAAGTAAGAAAGCAAGCATGAAAAGAAACTAAGCTATTACACGATAATGGGAGAGAGATACATGCAAAGTACACATGATTTCTAGAAATAAACGGGGTAATTGTCAGGTAGCCCAAGAGGAAGTCGTGTGTGTGCGAGGTGTCCTAAACTAAACAAAGAACAAGAACTCGGGCGAAACATCCAAACTAGGGTTTATGTACAAGATCTAAACCCCAATACCCAAGATAGTGACCAACAGTCCTCCAATTAAACATTTTTTAGGGTTTCAATAGTTTTATTGTGTTTTTGGTATTTTTGAATGAGATAAACAAGAAAAGGGTTAGATGAACAAGATATGAATAATATGATAAGATGAATATGAACAATGATAATAAGATGAATGATATAATGATCAAGATGATAAGCAAGATAATATCAACAATAATATAAATAATAGTATGAACAAGGGTATATAAACAGTGATATATTAACAGAAAAGTAAAGCAAGAATATATTGAACAAAAATTAAAATCAATGGCTAATGATGGATTGAACGAATCAGGTCCACTATTTCGCTAAACCGTCGTAGCACAATCTATGAGGAAAATCATGCTATAGGAGGTCACACAGTCTACGATATTTGTGCTAGAAACAAGATAGAGAAATAATATTAAGGATCATTCTCCAATTAAATCGTGTCGCACGGACAAAAAGAAAGGCGGGATCTCATCTTAATCACAAACTTTATGTTAATTAATCGAGGGTAACCTCTCACGATTCCAAAGTATAGAAAAATGATCCAAATGATCATTTTCTACAAATTTGAAATAATGAAGGTTAACAACCTCGAAAACTAACTTTTGTGAATCGAAAGACTTCATCATTCGAAAAACAAATAAAATCGAGATGGAAGAAAATGAGAAGAGAAAAGGAGATTGGATCTCGTCTTAATCACAAACCTTACGTTAATTAATCGAGGGTAACCTCTCACGAACCCAAAGTATAGAAAAATGATCCAAATGATCATTTTCTACAGATTTGAAATAATGAAGGTTAACAACCTCGAAAACTAACGTTCGTGAATCAAAAGACTTCATCGAATCGAAAAATGAAATAAAATCGAGATAGAGAAGAAAATGAAGAGACAAAGAAGGCTGTCTCGGATTAGTCACCATTTATCAATAATTTGACCAACAGTGACTTTTTGTGATTTCGTCATCGACCAAAATGAAATAAAACCAAGACGAAATTAAGGTAAAAATGAAGAAAAAAATGGTAAACAAAATCAATAATGATTTTAGTAATAATAAATGTCAATTGCTTATTAAAATGCTTAACAAAATCATGAAACTTCAACTCAAAAGACTAAAAAGAAAAAGGGGGCGTGCATCGAAATTTGGGGTGTGAGAAAGAAAAACATAAAGGAATCATGTGGGCTAAAAAGCCCATCATCCTTTCACAATCAACACAAATAAAACAAGAGGTGGACATGGAGGGTGGTGTGGATAAAATAAAACCCCTGGGCTCGGAGCCCACTCCATATGTGGGGATTTGTTTTAAAGAAGGTTTTGGAAACTACCAACAACAACATCTCTTTAATATTTTATAAAATAAAAAAACCAAGAAGAGAAAAAGAACCCTTATTTTTGATAAACCGCATTATAACTTGCATAACGAAATTGCTCAGAAGAACGACCTCTTCGTCATCGCGCAAGCACCATAAAGAACAGAGTAGTCGATATCAAAGCGAAAATGGCCATGAACAAAATCAAACCCTCAACCTCTGTTCGTGCGATTTCTCTCCTTTGATTGCTCCG